AAAAAGAGAGAGAAAAAAACCCCTTGCTAGTTTCCCCCTTTCCCCACCTTTGTTTGCAGTACAATGAGCCAATGTCTAAAGATAAGGAAACCACAAAAATTTTATATAAATCCCTTCTGCAAGCAGGTGGAAGACTCCTGTGAAGCTGAAAACATGGAGAAGACCTATCCCAAGGAGCAGGCCCAATTAAAAAGAACCACCTTGACTAGCATTCTTAGACTGCAACCCCTACTGTTGAGAGTACAACAGAATTTGACGTAGAGGAGAGATATGAAGACTACTGGCATGTCTAACCTAAGATGTGTTCATTTTCTTCAGAAATATTCTCCTTAAATATGACTAGTTCTAACTTCTAGTCATCTTTACAGTGTGTTCCCAAGAAGTGTCCAACCAACTGATATTAACTTCGATGTACATTCAAATATATATGGCATCTATTGTTTGGAGATAAGGCAGGATGCACATCCGAATTCAATGTACAGCATGGAAAAGTAAACAGATATCATTATCTTACCACTGGCTTTGGCAATAACAGATGAAACAAGTGAAGACCTATGAGATGGTCATAGGAAAATATTGTCACTGGTCCCTGCTTTGTCGTCTGGCTTCAGATATTGCCCCCAACCACCTTTCTCTACCCTCTCCTCTCCTCTCACTGTTATCTGCTTCTCTCCTGTCTTTTCCCTTTCACACCCTACTTCTTTTCCCCTCTTAACCCCAACACTAGTTCCCCCTCCCCCTTGACTTCCCCCTGCCCCCCTTTCCTCAGTCTGATCTCCCAATCAACTCCTTTCCCTCCTCACCACTCTGCCCACTCCCCCTTGCCACTCTGTCTGTCTACCCATCCTTCCCCCGCCTCAGTTGGCAGACCACCCACTCACCAGCCTGCTCTCCTGAAGCGCCACCACCATATGCCTGCTGCAGCAGCTTCCCATCCCATGCCTCCAGTGGTGGTGGGGCGGCAGTGGCTCTCCCCCACCTGCCAGGATCACATGATGGAAGCGCAGCAGTGGCTCCCTCTCCTGCCCTGCTTTAGCTGCTCTGTCCTCCCACCCACCTACCCCTGCCACTCAGGCCACCCACTTCCTCTTCTCCTTCCTACCTGTAGCACCACTGCCTCTGCCACTGAGCAGCAGCTCCAACAGAGGTGCAGTATTTGTGCATGAAGAGATAACACTCATGTATTTGAGGAATTTCCCCCCTCCCTCTGCTCCATTTTCTACCTTGTTTTTAGATTTTTTCCTGTAAACCTGGGAGGTCTTCAAACTTTGAGGATCCCCCAGGTGTGCAGAAAAATCTCCCTAGCCTGTACACTGTCTCTGTTTGCACATTTATGTATCAGCAGACAGTGCTATGTTGAGTCTTAGATATATTGACAAGTCCTAGCTGCTGATTATTTGCCACTAGACAGTTGTAATGTTTGTGGCTGACAAATGAATTATGCAATGAATACAGCTTTCTGCAAGGGTGAATTCAGTGTTTACAAAAAATGGCATTTGCAGGCACAAGCCAGGTGACAAGGTTGCAAAAGGTACTCTCAAGGGAGACTTCAAACATCTACAGATTTAAGTGCTGCTAAATGTTTGAGCCTGGATAGAGTTTTGGGTTTATTTTTAAGTGTGAAAAGTTTCCAAGTAAGATGAAAATGCCTTGGGGAATTTTTCAGTTAAATTCATTACTAATTCGAACATTTATCCTCCTGCATCCATTCCTGACAATACAAAGAAGATTAAAAAAGAAATAAACAATCAACTCAAACGAGACTAAGAAAAGGATTTAATATACTCAAAGCCAGTCAGTAGAGCTTTCTAATGTGTTACCTTCATAATACCTTACAATGTCTAAAATCTACCTTGCCATTTTCAGCATAAATACTTGCAAATTAGGCTATTTATTTATTTTATTTATTCGAGTATTTCTACCCCGCAAGCGGGCTCAGGGTGGCTACAGTTCATACTGTAATTTTTATAATGTACTGAAGTCAACATGTTGTGACATTTTAGTGGACTGGCACCTAACCAGCCTTATAAATAATCCAACACATGTCAATTATATTTAAAAGGCAGATTAAAAAAAATTATGGAGACTTTAGACATGATTATACATATACAGACAAAAATATTAAGTCAATCCCACATGATAAGGTAAAGATAAATGTGCTACTTGGTGTATTACCTGCATACTGTACAATGTTTATAAAAGAACTGGAAAGAGACCCCAAAATAATAAAACTGAAAAGTTAGAAATTTTAAATTGCCAGAGGCATTTTGACCACGAAAGTCTTTTTCTGCAGGTAAAAGGTGACGCTTTCACACTTTTAAGCAGAAATAAACTGAACCAGGCTTTTCTTCCAATAAAAATGTAAATGCACCGTTCATATGACATGGGTATGCTAGCGTCACACCTAGTGACATATCCATATACATAATTTGTTTTCTGTAATTATATTTGGCCGGTGTATATTAGTGATGTGACCATAACAAATACAAAGTTTTCAAGACAGTTTATTATCCCAGTTTTTTATACATATTTGATTGTTTGACAGGGAGAATTTGCCCTTTTTTGTCAGTATCAATAGGTGCCCAAATCATGACTCAAAATGTCCCTCCAAAAAGCAAGTTAGTAGACGCTGGTTTTCCTAAGAGCCTCAAAGTAGTGATGGGCATAAAGGACCAAGGACTTATGTCACAAGAGACATCTGCACATGTCTAGAAGTTATTTACTTCATTGTTTAAAAAATGTGACTGCTAAAGCAAGTATATTGGACCTCTTGACTCTTTCTCTGCCGAGACCCCCTTTACTGCAATAAAGTTCTGTCTGCTTCTGGAATCTCCCTGTTCTGTCCTTCATTGGGCGTTGGCACACTAGGCAATCAGCCCGTTTGGGTAACAGTTGCATTCTCTTGCCTGGTTGCTCAGACATCTAGATAACCCTACTAAGAGTGAAAAATGCACCTCTGAGATGTGAACCAGCTCCAAAGGGCAGCAGGCACAAGGCAGGAGGTGAGGCCACATGCAGTTGCCTCACTCTGAGCTGGTCTATCAAGGTCAGCATTCTCTGCTGCGACCGGCAGAGTGGTGGTCCCCAGGCTGAAAGGAAGAGGTCTTTCCCATCACCCACGACACGATCCTTTTAACTGGAGATGACAAAGACTGAACCTGGGAACTTCTGCACATTCAGAGTAGATTCTCTACCACTGCCACAGGGATCTGAGTGGTGGTGACTTTGTTTCCTTGTCAGGGGCAGGGAGGGTTGCAGCAGCATAACACTGAGGGCACCAGTTATTCAGCACGGGACAGCCCTTAGCTACAACCTTTAACTCAGCTGGAAGGAAGTATTTTTTTGAGAATAAAGTTTGTTTTCCCCCTGCAGTGAAACATTATCTTGCAATGTTTTACCTTGTACTGGAGCATCTCGAACTGTCTCCTGGTTGTTAGGAACATGGTTTGGAACAGCAGGAGGGGCAAGAGGGGGATGCTCTTCTGTCCATTCTGAAGAGAGAGAGAGAAAAAACACATTTTTTCCCCTATTTGTTTGGACAATATAATGATCTGCAGCTGAAGCGTGTGTGTGTGTGTGTGTGTGTGTGTGTGTGTGTGTGTGTGTGTATGTGTGTGTTCCTACATGCAACTACAGTTTGCACCATGTCCCCAATAACCTTTCTTTGGCATCCCACACATATTTGGCTGGTGACTCTGCAGTCACCCAAAGGAGGTGATCCATCTCCCTCAACCTGCTTCCTACCCTGACTGAGCCAACAGATAACAAAACCAACAAGACAGGATAATGAGAGATGATCCCTGATCAGATAACCGAATGTATGGGTTACAACAGCAGAACAACAGAGGCAAAACAGGTAAGACAATATTGTTAATTCTATCAGCTTATGTTGCTGCAGGAGTGTATATAAGATTTCAGGCTATGGAGAAGTTTGTAAACGACTCCATTTGTAATGCCTTTTATTGAATTTCATTTGTGTTGCAGAAGGGAACAAAAGATGGGTTTGTTTTATTTATTCATATGCCACTTGGGCTCTTGATTAGAGCTATCTGAAGCCCACCTAGGAGACAATACCCCATTAGGCATTTCTCTGAGCTCAGAAGAAACTCTTTCCCCCTGGAGTGTCACCCTCATAGTTCCCCTTGTCACACTGCCCCTGAAAAAATGTCTGGTGCTTTGTGCTAAATCAATACGGCCAGTCCCTGAGAAACTAGAGAAGAACCACAGAGACTGGAGGGCAGCCTAGCTGTTCTCAGGAGACACCGTTTGTTCTAGCTACTAATGTTTGTACATTTTGTCACCACCAGGTGTTGTGCTGAGACTAAAAACCTCCCACTGCTATACTGTTATTTAGAATCAGCATGGAAGTCCATAAAAAAATGTGCAAAGCATTATTGCCGTGTCGCAGAGCACCTTAAACAAGCTAACTGCCTACAGAAAGTTACAAGTGGTCTGCAGCAGCAGAGCAAGATCTGAGTCCAGCAGCACCTTAATGACCAACAGGATCTCCAGAGTATAAGGTTTCAAGAGTCAAAGGGAGATTCGACTCTCAAAAGCTTGTCCCCTAAAAATCGTGTTGGTCTTTAAGGTGCTGCTGGACTCTTAATATTGCTCTTTGCATACAGAAAGACAGACACAAACATTGTTGGATGTTAATATCCAGCTGTCAGATCATAATGATCTATGTGACAGCAGGCAAGCTGCTGATAACAGGTTCTGACCGGTTTAGACCAGCTATGGTGTGAGGTCAGTAGATAGTGACTCAGCAAGATGCTGATTGGTCACTCAAATGTATATAAGTGGACAAGTACTGCTCTGTATGTTCTCTTCTCTGGATATGGTGTTTGGCGGAGCAGTTTGTCAGTGGACTGTATATATTGTAAATAAATCTGTATATAGTTTACCACAGGACGGTCTTGGTGTGGTACTATACAGAACCTACTCTGCATTGAGTGCTGGTGTGTGCTGGAGTGCTGGTGTGGCTGGAAGAGTCCTGGTGGCTGGTGGTGCTGGAAAGCTGCTTTACACGCACAGTGCAACAAAGGGATCTGCAACAAAGTTACAAGTGGTCTGCAGTAGCAGAGCAAGATCTGAGTCCAGCAGCACCTTAATGACCAACAGGATCTCCAGAGTATAAGGTTTCAAGAGTCAAAGGGAGATTCGACCCTAAAAATCGTGTTGGTCTTTAAGGTGCTGCTGGACTCTTAATATTGCTCTTCGCATACAGAAGGACAGACACAAACATGCCCTCTGCAAAGACTGAAGAGCTTTCGTAATGTCAGGTTCCATGCTCAGGCTTCCTTCTGAGTCCAGTGCCATCTCCAGCAGGCCACTTGCCTGAAGAGGCGCAGGCTGGACTCTCACAGGAGGGTGGGCCTTCCCATGAGAGTTGATTGGCTGGTAGATCCAGCCGCATACTTCCCTATTTGAACCTTTCCTTCCCTGTTTGAACCCCATAATTGCCCTCCTGAAACCCTGTCACTCTGCTCGGCCACGTTGGTGCTCCTCGCCCCTGACTGAGTGGCCAGTGGGGTTCCCGTCATGGCCAGAACACTGCCACATAGCAGGGCAATAGGCTGGCCATCCAGCAGCTCAGCTCCAATCCCTAGTGGTACTCAGGGGTACTAAAGGTAAAGGTTTCCCTCGCTCGAAAGCCAGTCGAATCCGACTCTAGGGTTGCGGTGCTCATCTCCGTTTCAAAGCCAAAGAGCCAGCGCTGTCCGAAGACGTTTCCGTGGTCATGTGGCCGGCATGACTAAACACCAAGGCGCACGGAACGCTGTTACCTTCCCACCGAAGTGGTCCCTATTTATCTACTTGCAATTTCTTGCTTTCGAACTGCTAGGTTGGCAGGAGCTGGAACTAGAGACGGGAGCTCACTCCGTCATGCGGCACACTCGGGTCTCAAACTGCTGAACTACTGACCTTCCACAGCCTGCAGTTCAACATCTTAACCACTTGAGCCACCGCAGCTCAGGGGTACTACCAACATACAATAGCTCATTTATTTAACTTTGGCAGGCTCATAAAATCTCAGAGTTGGAAGGGACCTCCAGGGTCATCTAGTCCAACACCCTGCACAATGCAGGAAATTCACAAATACCTTCTCCCCACACCGGGTTATTAGCAAATTTAGCTATATTTCATTGACATTCATGTTCACCTGGATCTCAAGTGATACTGTGCATGTGTTTGGAAGGGCAGCTGGGGCCAAGCATTGATTAACCAATTTTAAAAATGAATGCGTAATCTCAATGGAAAACAACTGTGATTAACCAATATTTGAGCCTTAACAATGGTGGGTGCCGACCTTCTGGGGGTGCTGGCTGTGGCTGCTGCTGCTCAAGCTGCTTCTTCCGTTTGGCCTCCAGAACTGGATTCTCATATTGTGTCTTCCTGTTGATGTGACTGAAGGAGAAAGGTAACCATTAAGTAAAGGAACATTTTATATAAACAGCAAGCATGACAGGCGGAACGGTTCTCTGACAAAGGAATGGGGTAAGTCCAATGCAAGATCTATGGGGCACAGTCTTCCTGCAGCCAGGGTCAAAATGCTGAGCTAAGAAGCACTGTTTCTTTGCTGACATGCCACCCTGAAGAGGTATGGCTAAATCTCACCAGTGCTCTAAATCAGACATATCAAATATACAGCCCAGGTGTGAGACAGTGCCACTGCTTCATCCCCCTCCCCAAATCCTGTTTAAGGCAGGGCTTATTGGGTCCCCTGGCTGATGCACTTGGCCACCTGTCCTTGGCTGCCGCACCTGCAGCAACGGAATCCAGCACTTCACATTCCAGCTCATCAAAAGCTTTTGAAATGTGTTAGTCTTTAAAGATCCACGAGAGTCTCAGGTTGTTGCACCTTGATTGTCAGGCAATAGCTCTCTGTGCTGTGCGAAACTTCTTGTGCAGATTAAGCAAAGGGTGGTTAGTTAGGTGCTGAGGGAGGGGTGTGGGTCACAGTCAGTGGTGATGTATCTCCTGTCACTGGCATTACATTTTATGGCACACATGGCCCAGCCCAACACAGTGACATCTATGTCAGATCCGGCCCTCATAACAAATGAGCTTGACACCTCTGCTCTAAGTAACATAGGAACAATGAGGGTAAGCAAGAAGGATGCTTCTTCTGCGTGCATGGCAAGACAGAGAGACGTCTCATCAGTAACAGATTTTTCAGCCCTCCTTTGG